GTAGGGAAACATTTTGATGGTATGATAATTTAATAAATTATAAGAACATTTTCACTGAGAGCAATGGTACATTCAGGATGACTAATACAAACCCTGAAATGTGCAACTGGGTCATGTAACCCCTGCAATGTCCCACTAAAGTGTATAGTAGATATAATATGAAGACTGGCCCAAGTTAATATTCCAGAGCATCTCACCCCAAATTTTGATAGAAAGGCTAGAACCGAATCTGAACTTTGTGTCTATGCAGATCTTTCTCATTTATTCGTAAACACTTCATTACTTTAGGACTTCATTCCTTATGATTCTTGTCACCATTAACTTTATTTGCTCATGGCCTTTCCTGAGGCTTCATGTTTTTTCCCACCACAAGGAGCCAGGTCACCAGCTCCGTTCCAGCCACCTTCTGGAGGGGTGGCAGCCCCTCGCTTATGCACTCACCCGGTTAATGCTGCAGAGCTCCTGCCAATCTAACCCAGAAGTCAGACAGCCACATGCAGTTCAACCCTGCCATAGAAGCATCCTCACCACAAACCCAAAGCCCCAGCAAACCTCAGCTAACAGCCAGAGTCGCAGCTCATTGTAACTAGGCCAGTACAGCCCAGTCCCAGAAGCCACAGATGCCAGAGAGGTTGACTCCAGCTCCCAGTACCGTAGCAGATGTGGTTCTGCTGGACCAAAAGATAGCAACTGGAGATAACTTATGTTTCCAAACACCTGATGTTGAGTAGTGTTTGTAAAGCTATTTAAAGGTAAAAAGTGCTATGAAAGTGCAAAGTGTTCTTAATAGTTTTATAGAAATATTAAAAAATTATTTAAAAAAATCTTTCTTCTTTCGGAGATGCCAAATATGTCACTGTTTATAATAATTTCATAACATATACATAAATGCATAGGGCATCAACATATATTTTTCTCTTGTTCTGCACTGTTCCATCAGTAAAGGAGATTATTGCAAAAAAGACTTTCCTTGTGTTGTAAAGTAGATACACTATGCCCACTATGCTTTACAGTCAGTTCTGATTCGTACCACTGTCACCATTGCATAAAATTTTACAATTTCCTTTAGAGGCATTGGGAAATGGAGAAATTCAGAGGTATCTGCTAACCATCACCATTTTTTACAGATGACAGTGGCTTGCAGGATGGAATTGAGATTGGGACTGGCTTCTTCATATACAAAATACACCATCTATCTCCTCCACTATGAGCCCTCCAAAAAAGTCATCCTTAAAATGGAAATTTTCTCAGTATTACATTCTCCTATAATATGTGTGTTCATTTGGAGTATTATGAATCTCCCTAACCATTTAATATTGGGGATGACAGTATTTCCCCCTTTAAACAGTCTTTGTTTCATTCCAACAGCAGATGGTAAAGTCTCAAAACAGAAGTAGTACGAGCTCCATTGCTTGGTACATTGAAATCTAAATAGACAATACACTAATAAGGAACTATAGGAAGAAACAGTTTGCACTACAGAGAGATAGACTGGATGACCTGACCTGATGACTGGATGACCACCCCACCCTAATTTCTAGTAGTTTATCCTTTACTCTACATATTCTCAGGCTGAAAGAAAGGACAGAAAACCCCAAACAGAATAACGTTAATGCAGATCTACTGCATAATCAAAAACACCCTGTGTTGCTCACAGCAGCCACTGACTTCTTTATCCCAGGCACACTAGTTTCATGCAAAATTTTACTTTTCTGTAGATTTTTTTTAACCCCTAGACATATAAAGCAACAGCTTTGAAATGACAGAATTACAGTCAATTTACTAGGTTACGTCAATATCTATTTCGCCCCTTACCCCTTATATAAGAGCAATTACGGCAGTCTGGTATTGCCCTGCCAGTATAGTTTCTCTTCCACTTTTTTCTTTTTCCACTGGCAGAAAAGTAGCATCTTAAAAGTTTTCCTGAAAGTTTTGTTACAGAGGGCATAACAAATGGGGTTAACAGTGCTGTTCACATAGCATAGCCAATATCCAAGGTGCCACAGTGTCAGGGGAATGCAGTCAGAGCAGAATGTGGAGATCAAAACCATGATATTGTAGGGAGTCCATGTGATGATAAAAGCCAAGAGAATGGCACTTAAAGTCTGTGCTGCTTTGCGTTCCTTTATAAGAACCATCCGTTTCCTTTTGGTGATTTGGTTATTTATATTTGGATCCATGCTTTTGATGGAAGGATCCTTTGGCAGAGCAGCAGAACAAGGACTTATTTTTACTTTGCGGCAACCATTGTTGGCTTCCTGCATACCATCAGCCTTAACCACCAACCGGAATTTATAGGCCATGCATTTTTTACTCTTTTCTACATGGCCTTTGGCAGGTGACAAAAAGTATTTCTGGTTCTCAAAATCATTTTCTTCAGGTTGGTCTTTGACAACAACATCTGTACTCTCATTAAACTCTTCTGCCTTACCTTTAGACGGACTTTTGTAAGTTACTTGGAAAACTGAATCAGCGGCAAGTTTGTCCTCCTCTTCTGAAGATGCATAGCTGCTGCAGGTGGTTAACTGGTCAGCCTTAGCCCAGTCGTTACAAGTACTTCCTGCCTGAGAGGCTTTCACCGTAGCTGACGTGCTTCGACTAGATGAAGACCAGGAAGCCTGACACCTCTCTCTTTTGACTAAGTTTTGTTGCTTGCAACTGAAGCAAGACTTCAGGAGAGCTTTCTGAGGCTTTATCATCTGAAACTCTGCCACAGACTCTGAACCCTGCAGTTCAGCAAGATCCTTGGTACGTTTCTCCGTCTCTTTATAGATGCGGCAATACAGAATGGTCATCACAGACACTGGAATGTAAAAAGCAGCAATTGCGGTACCAAAGGTGATAATGGGCTCATATAAAAACTGTATCTGGCACTCTTCAGGTGGTACTGTTCGTTCACCCACAAAATACTGCCAGCACAAGATTACAGGTGCCCATAGCACGAAGGAAATTAGCCAAGCCAGACCAATCATGATGCCAGCTCTTCTGGGCGTCCGTTTGGCCCTGTAAGTTAAAGGCCTTGTGATGGAAAAGTATCTGTCAAAACTGATGACTAGGAGGTTCATCACTGAGGCATTGCTAGCTACATAGTCCAGTGCTAGCCACAGGTCACAGGCAAGGCTTCCAAGAGACCAATGGCCTATGAGTATATAGGACGTGTAAAGGTTCATAGAAAATATTCCGATGATGAGATCTGCACAGGCAAGGCTGAGCAAGTAATAATTGTTGACAGTTTTGAGCTGACTGTTAACCTTGAAGGATATCATTACAAGAATATTTCCCACTATGGTTATTAAGCTTACAATTGCAGTTACAGTGGCAATAGTAATGACTTCCCAGAGGCTATGCCCTTCTAACTGCTTATGGTTGATGGATGAACTGTTTACAACAGTAGAATTGCTGAATAAATTTACTTCCATTCTTGTTCTTGGTGTATTGTCATCAGGGTTTTAGCACTGTTGCATATTGCTTTCTGTACTTGAAAATATTCTTTTGGAGACAGCTGTAAAGATGAAAGGAAAACACAGAAAAAGAAAGCAGCTCATTAAACAGCACAGACTTCCATTAGAGTTACCATAAAACACTTGTAAAACATGCTATCAAATTATTTGTGCCTTCTTTTTGCATTTTGATTTCTACCATTGTGAACGTAACTAAAACACACAAATGTACATTCTAGGACAATCTACTCTGGCATTTTATGACATTTCTAAATGCAGTCAAAACAACTATTGTTTCTTGAGACAGTCAATCACACCAGCTCTTATATTTTGAATACCTTAGGATACACTCTACATATTCTTAAAGACAGGCATTTGAAGTTTTGCAGTGCAATAAGATAGTGAGTTGCTGTGTTGTTTCCTACAGTACTATGCAGACAACATGTCAAGATTTCAGAAACTGTCTCTGGAAAATTTAGAGAAGTCACCAACAACAGAAAGAGAGTAAGAGGAAACTGAGGATGCATGGGGAGTTAGGAACCATGCTGGCATGGTGTCAGCGGGAAACAATCAGGTGTTAGAAGTGCTTGGGGCAGTTGAGGGGGAATCTTTGAGTTACGGAAGCAGGCAAGGCCAAGAAGACAGTTTTGAAAAAATAAGTTAGGTAGGAAAGACTTTTCTCTGTTGGGAGATCTGGAGACAGAGGAGACTGGTTGGGTGAGGCACAGAAGGGCAGTTTGGGTGAGCGATTGGTAGGGCTGAGGATAGAAAGGAGCAAACTGAAGAGGAAGCGACAATGGATAACCACAGTGACAAACAGTACAACAAAAACTATTTAATACTTGCATAAGCAGCAAAAAGTGGAAATGGCACCACTGTCACTCTATTAATGCATACACGCCTCTGATGTCCATCCCCTCCTACATTGTTCACTACTGTTTTCTTGCCCCAGTGAATGCATGCCTGAATTAGGCAATTTGGTTCTTTAAAAGATACCTGCTAGTTTTTGAGTCATTCCATCACATCAGATGCTGCTAATCACTTGCTTGATGCCTAATCTTGCTAGACTGTGTAATCTTGTAATAGTCAAATAGTAGTTAGTTTTTTTAAGCCAGGAATGAAAGATAAATTATTAAGTTTGTTTATTAAGCATCTAGCCAGCATACAACCCATAAGATGATCCCTTTTTTTCAAAGCAGATGCAGGTTCAGCTAATATTATCACATAAATCACCTATTAAAGTCCAACTCTAAGACTTTTGGATTCTCTCAGCATCAGATCACTACTATATGATCCTCCCTATCCATCCACACCACTTATTTGTGTTTTCACCTTTCATGCTAACTCTCAGAACATTATTTTCTTTGGTCTTGGCAAGTGTCTTTTCTTAATTGCAAGCTTTCACAGCCTATCCTTTCCCACATGTCATCATCTATCTTTTGTACCAAGTAGTTGTGTCCTGTCTCTCATCAGTTGAATACATCAGTATTTTATAGTCACTTGCTGAATTTTCAGAAAAGCATCTTATTTTCTTTCATTGTCCTCTTGTTTGCTTTCATTGTTTCCTTCACTTTTGTCCCAGGTCTCCTAAATATCCACAGAAGTGTCTCATCTTTCTTCTTCAAACCCTCTCTAACGATTATCTCTCATTGTGATGAAATTTGATAATGGTAAGTTTCCTGTTGTATTGAGACCACTGTCTATCATACTACCCAAAATGTTCTCCTCCATCTGTGTGTGTCTGTCGTCTCCTGTCTTATATTGAGATGTTTGTGCATCTGTATTCCATTTATACACAACGTATATTGAACCTAACTCAACAGGATTCTAGTTCATGTATAGGCCTTGCAGCCTAGTAATAATGATAACAACGTATGCATGTTGACCATCTGTACGCTTGGCTCTCTACAGCCTCCAGAGCCAGTCTAGCAGCCAAGAATAGCTAAAGTGCCACAGCAGTCCTAACGAGCCCCATGCCAGGACAGAAATTTCATCCTGGTTCTGCATTCTGCAAAGGCTTCCCCCAGGTCAGAGCTGTCCTGATGACTGGGCACGCTGGCTTTACAAATCTTTACACAGCCTTGAAGTGTAGGAATTCATTTAATGTGAAACAAAGGTTTGTGGAGCAGTTGCATGGCTGTGACAGCTGAGGTGTGAGAGATGAAGCTGTGTGTCTCTGCTACCTCACACGGCTTATGTTTCTTTCAGTGGACAGGCAGCACTGTTGTGCCGCACGTCAACAGCTCTGTGTGATTAAATTTTTAAGTGTGGCAGTGTGGTGGTGGGTTTAGAGTGGCAATATTAGGAGGCAGCAAGGGCCAGCTGCTCTGCGAGGCAAGGTGAGCCACAGGTGGAGCACGATACCAAGGCAGGGGGAGCAGAAACCTCACCAAGAAGCAGCAGGATGTGGAGCAGCATGTTTGGTTCATGATCAGGCCCAGAGACAGTGATCACCATCAGACATAGTCCAGTGATCGCACAGCAAGTCTGTAGTGATGAGGCAGGTCTGAGACCAAGCCAGGAAGCCCAGCCAGCAGATCTGAGTCAAGACCAAGGAAGCAGGAGACCAGGTGTAGATGTAGCTGCTGCCCAGCTGCGATGTAGCACAGGTGAGGCCCAGCAGTACAGCCTCAGCTTAAAAGCAGTTCCCAAGTGAAAGGAGAGGGAGGCCCTTGCTTCTAGCTTTCTTCACAACAGGTCTTATCAGCAGAGTAGGTGACCTTGGAAGCAGACAGCTAAACTCTAACACAACCAACAGTGCTCCTGCACTCCAGAACTTGACAGCTAGTATACCTGAAACATGTGAGTTTTTTACAAGTTGCAACATCTCAGCACAGGCTAGAGATGGTCTTAAAAAGGCACCAGTTATGAATATCAGGTAAACAGACAAACCTCTACTAACTTCTTTGCCTAACACCTGGGGTTGGGCAGCTGCTTAGGATGATTATAGGAGCTTGTTTGAACTTCCTGCCTTGTTTTTTGCCAGAAGATTACATTTTTCTGAGAAGAGGGGAGACTAGGTATTACCTAGATGCTGTGGCCTGTAATCTTTTGTCTTTTGCCAAAGGTAACAAGTGTGTTCCCCTCATAGGTCGCTTACCCTCCCTAACACAAGGATTTGGGAGGAAAGACTGCTAAAGCTGCCCCATGAGGATTGCAGACTTCAGAGTAACAGGAGGAGCAGAAATTGTTGTTCTGACACAACTGTTCTTGGTTTGAAATGACATGGGTGGAAGGAACACTGGTAATGTGGTATAGAAACCATAATTAATTTCTAAATAAAAATCATTGTCATTGTCATCATGCAAAGCCTTCCCTCCTTAATGGGCTGTGATGCCTATAAAAACTGATGGTAGCTAAACTGCTAGTATGCAAAGATCTCATTCTCCTCTTCATGCCCTATCATCTTTTGTCTCATAGGTCTGTGCTAACACTTTGCAGTGTTGCCTTTTGTTCTCTATTTGTGTATCACTCAAGGCAATAGTGCCTGTGAGTGGGACTTCTGTGTGCTATGGTAACATAATTTATGTTAATTATCTATCATAAGAGATGATAATAATAGGGAGATCAAAATTAAATTACAAAATCAAAATGCACATGTGTAGTATGACTTTGCTATCTGTCTCATAATTATTGATGCATGAACTTCATGCTTGTGAGTTGTAATGATATTTTCTATTTGTTGCCAAATATTAGTGATATTTTTTCAATCTAGCTGTATTAATTAATGTGAGTTGTTAAATTTGTACATATAGTCAGCTTACAGTTATCTGTAGGCAGATTGTTCGTGTCACAGATTAATTGCACCACAGATGCAGTCACAGCTTGAATTCGATGGGTTTTATTAGCTCTAGCTCAGCACTGAGTCTGCCAGACCTGTGCTGGCTGCACAAGGAATCGTTTAGATATCTTGGCAACGTGCTTGCCAGGGCTGCTCCCTGTTACTTGATTTATTTCCTTGGGTTGCGCTGGAGTCATGCTAAGCTAATTTACTGATCCGCTGCACGCTATGCCCTAGAACTAAGCAGCTCTTACCACAGTGCAGAGACACTACAGCCCATGGTTTCACAGTATGGGAGGTCTGGTCACACTTTGCTGTAAGGACTACCAGGTTTACAAACCCTTCAAAACCAGATAAATGTTTCAATGGGTGTTGTCAAATGACAGCCTGCATGCTTAAGAGCGATCGGACAAACCTGCTGTCAGGGAACCAGTGAACTTCCCTGCGGACAGCATGGGTGCCCGCCTAGTTCAAGCAGAGAAGGCCAAACCAGCCTAGCTCTACGGCACAAAGCTGCTCAGTGTCCCTGCTCTGTCTCCTCAGAGCAAGAGGCTCCTCAAGAGGCTGCAGTCACCTCATGCGCTTCACGTAGCGCAGGCCTGTGTGCAATGCCCTGTCACCCGGGGCTTGGCTGCTATTTCCCTCATTTGCTCCAGAAAGCTAACTTTGGGTTCTGCACCTGGGTCACAACAACCCCATGCAACTCTACAGGCTTGGGGAAGAGTAGCCCACTGGAAAAGGATCTTGGGGTGCTGGTCAACAGCCGGCTGAGCATGAGCCAGCAGTGTGCCCAGGTGACTAAGAAGGCCAATGGCATCCTGGCTTGTATCAGGAATAGTGTGGCCAGCAGGAGTGGGGAGGGGATCGTGCCCCTGTACTCGGCACTGGTGAGGCTGCACCTGGAGTACTGTGTTCAGCTTTGGGCCCCTCACTACAAGAAGGACATTTAGTTGCTGGAGCATGTCCAGAGAAGGGCAACGAGGCTGGTGAGGGGTCTAGAGAACAAGTCTTATGAGGAGCAGCTGAGGATGTTAAGTCTGGAGAAGAGGAGGCTGAGGGGGGACCTTATCACTCCCTACAACTACCTGAAAGGAGGCTGTAGTGAGGTGGGTGTTGGTCTCTTCTTCCAGGTAACTAGCAATAGGATGAGAGTAAATGGCCTCAAGTTGCATCAGGGGAGGTTTAGATTGGATATTAG